GATGACGGTGCCTATTTGCCAGAGGAATATACGCATCTCATTGGCAGGTGACGTCATCCCTTCGGTATTTAAGAAGCCACGATCGCAGTTTTAGATCACCCCTGATGAAGACACTAGACTGGAGTGTCGAAACGTTGGGTCTTGATTACAATTCGACTGGGCTTTGTAATCATTTATTTAAACCAGAGTAGCGAGCGAAACATGATTGATATACCTGGTTGCAGTGAACAAACACACACATATATATATATATATATATATATATATATATATATATATATATATATATATATATATATATATATATATATATATATATATATATATATATATATATATATATATATATATATATATATATGCATATATATATATATATATATATATATATATATATATATATATATATATATATATATATATATATATATATATATATATATATATATATATATATATATATATATATATATATATATATATATATATATATATACATATATATATATATATATATAGTTTGAGCGCTCTGGCAAATCCTCGGTCCCAGGGCCTCACGGCTGACACTGCGTTGCCGTGATTTGATTGGTCGCATGAAAACAATGGAATGCGGAAATTGAACACGAACTTGTACTATTAATAAATATGGCTGACTGTAGGAGTCCATAGGAGCGTGTTAACTCTTCAAAGAAGACGAAGAGTCGTTTTGGTCGTTGAAATCTTCTGTCTATCAATGGAAATTTTATTTTTAACATAAAATATGTTGGATGTTGTGTCACAATATGTCTACTCTGGGGCGGTAAGTCGCCTTAAATTGCTGCGATATAATGCGATTTTGGGCGATTTTAGGCGATTTAAGGAAAAACTGGGACTTTCAAGAACTGCGATTTTAGGCGATTTAAGACGATTTAAGAAATTAGGGATTGCAATTTAGGTGTTTTCGAAGTAATTGAATTTTATATTTTGCTCCGGTTTCCTCCCACAAGGCAAAATAGGCAGGGTGGGTTAGGATCACTGAGCTATACTTATATATCTGGAGATCGTGCTCTCGACGAAAGTGTGTGGCCAAAAACATGGCGGATTTGACGTCACAATCGACCTATTTTCATGGCAGTTTCCACTGACCCGTGGCTCGAATGTCCGTGGGCGACAAAGTTCAACCCCCCCTGATTTTGTACTGACTGTTTATATTAGTTGATCGATGGAGAGTATTTTCACTATTTTGATTTTCGTCCTTCTGAAAATACAGTATTATTCTAACTGCGCGTATAAATCAATAAAGACCGAAGCCATTAATAGAAAAAGACATGAATGGAGCTTGACGGCCACAAGAACAAAGCATGTAAGTCATTGAAATGATTTATCAATTCTTGTTGTATAATTGTGAATTTGTGTTGCAACTGACTATCTAGATTATTCTTTAAAACACGAGTATTATAACAATCCCCAGTAAGTAAAATTAAGCGAATATAGCTTGTTGAAAACCGTACTGCTATAAATTTTCCTGAGCCGACAAAGGTTTTTTTAGAGATTTTAATACCAGTTTATTCTATTAGTATTAAAATTGTGGGGAAAAGCAACTCTTTGGAATATAAAGCACTTATATCACCATTAAAGTTTTTTACACCTGTATGTATTCCGCTTTCAGGTATGAATTTATCAAGAAAATATGGGATATCTGTACTATATACAGGGTGGCAATGAAGAAAGTCCAGTGTATTTCTTTAGAATGGTCTTCCTTGTAAAAGGTGATGGCACTATTTCATTGAACATTCAAGGAACAATTGCCTTTTAAAACAAATATGCACATTTTTATGCTTGATTTACAATGTTTGATATCTGCATTTTATGCGATTCATACCTTATTTGTAAGTGTTCCTCGAATATTGATTCAATACATTTAATACCTCGGGCTGACCAATAGCTGTTATCGTAATTGAATACGCCGCTGCGGCGAACCAGCGGTATCTCAGTGGAAGTACGCATGAAAACGAGGCTAAAGGGTAAAAAAACACAAAACATGACCCTATAGCCTCGTCTCGATGTTAAAATAATGTAGATACCGCTGGTCCGTAGCATAGACGTATTCAATTACGATAACAGCTATTCATTCCATCAAGATATTTGCTGTGTACATGTTGATGTAATGTACAGTACTCAGGTGAATAAGATGCTTGTGTGATGTTACTCCGAGTCTATATCCACACCGGGCAGGCTTGAAAAATATGCTTGGCCATGGTGCGATTCGAACCTACTACCTTTAGAATACTGGCCCTATGCTCTGCCAACTGAGCTATGCGGTCGGGACGGTTTGAGTATGCAATATTTTGGAACCGAGTCTAGTTCCTTTGATATTAGTGTGATCTAATAATCATGATATTTGTTGTGTTGGTGTAGTGTACTCAGGTGAATATGATGATTACATGTGAAGTTACTCTGAGTGCATATCCACACCGAGCAAGCTTGAAAAATATGCCTGGTCACAGTGGGATTCGAACCGACCTGACCGCAGAGCATTGGGCACCTAGTATTCCAAAGGCCGCCATAGGTTCGAATCCCACCGTGGCCAGGCATATTCTTCAAGCCTGCTCGGTGTGGATATACACTCAGAGTAACACAACACAACCATCTCATTTCAACAAGTTCCTTGAGATATTCATACACTTCTTGTGAAAGAGCCAATTCCAAGTATTTGATCATTTCTGGTCACTTCCTTTCTTTTATTATTGGTTAGTTGCACGAACAACACAGGTGATTGGTGCATTCAAACTATTCAACAGGAAGTTTACAATTATACCAGGAAGTGTATGAATATCTCAAGGAACTTGATCAAATGAATTGGTCAGCCCAAGGTAATGTATTGAATCAATATTTGAGGAACACTTCAACCGGAACGACAGTAAAGTATTATTAAAAAATATTTTATTCAAAAAAAAAATTTTACTTTCATTTAGTAATTAAATAAGAATAAATAATATATTCAATTTCAAATCACAACAAAATTTATTCTTCATTTTAAAATACATACAACACCAATTTAATTGAATAAGATGCTCAACCAATTCTATGCATGTCAATTCCCCCACTTGATGGTCAGAACCTAGAGCAATTATGCTAGCCTAATTAATTTGTACACTAACACAAATAACTTCAAGTAGTTAGCAGAAATAAGGAATAAATATTTATTGTATTGTGCTGTTCACTTTCTAGTTTAAGTTTAATACAGTACTACTTGATGCTATCCAACTTGAGAATCAATGTAAAATAGTCAAGTTATGTGGTAAATTCATGTGTGAGAAAACAGGCCAGAATTGTTATTTGCACAATAATTGGGATTTTGTGAAAACGACATTTTCCAGTTGTTATTAGATTTTGAATGTCAATATTAACTAAATTGACACACAAGGAAGATAGACATGCATATAATTGATTGAGACAAAATTAATGTATTAATTATTTATTAAAGATTAGTATTATTAATTGAAGTACTATTAATTGTTAAAAACAATGTTGTGGCAACCATGCCAGTGGTGCACTGCACCTTGTTTATTTCCACCGTGATTTTTCTGTGGGCACACAATTCTTGTGTGCCCCTTCTTCCCACACACCCAGCATAGCATTCCTGTTTAATATTAATAAACAATAAATGTACACAACTGCACTTTCATATTTCATATTTATAAACAGTGTAATTGTGAATGATGATGTCTTACAATTGAAAAAAAATCTGTGTAATTTTAATGAATACAGGAAATGAGCATAACAGTCAAACACTGTAGGCTAGTAGTTGTTTCAACAATTTTCAAAATCTTTGTAACTTAAGCTTTACTGTACATGTGCAAAATTTCTACTGTGATGACAGCAACTTTGATATTGTTAACTAGCCTCAGGTGACTGTAGTAATTTAAACATACATACTGGCATGGCATTCTTTGCCATGATGGCCTTTAAGGCCACATTTGCGACATCTTCCTGGAATGATAAAAGGTGAACTGTTAAATTAACATTTTAAGAATAGGTTGTGTTAGGGTATTTCTCAGTGCCGTGTTTTAGTAATTTATTGCTTCATGTTACTGTATTTTTTATGCTGCTAATATTGTTC